ATTCAACAGCATATTCAACACTCAAAATATATCCCATGTCCCTTCCTCTGTCATCCCCCCTTTTTTCCATTTTCCAATGTTAACTTGCCCTCCCATTCCCCACTACCCCCTACCGTCTACCCTCCTCTCTCTACGCCCGATTCCTCCCATTCCTTTGTAACCTATCTACCCTATCCCCAATCTATGCTATCGACTGACTGCTGCTTGTGTCCTCCGTGTCCAATCTGGGYACGTAGTGTTGCAGGGCCGGTCCAAACTGCAACTGTCCTGTAGTAAAGTCGTGCACCAGCATTTGCGGGAACGGAGCCCATCTCTGCCAAAAGTCTGCCGCCTTGGCCTCCCCTGYGCGTCTACTTCGGTGCAGATCCRCCAATATAKCAGTGCGAATATTCTCCAGTGCCCGCTCCTGATAGGCCCGAAGTGGCGGGGACGTTCCTTGCCTACATCGTTCATTTCTCAGTGTCCACAAAGCCCATAACACTGCTGCCCTCACGATCTCTTCCACCACCATTTCGGCCATGGCCCGCCTACTTGCCTTGCCCAGGGTACCCAGCAAGATATCTGTGTCGGTCGTTTCATCCACCTGTAACGGTGTCTTGTCTGCCATTTCCTGCGCCCACCACTCCCAAAACTCCTGCACCCTTGGGCATCGAACAAAAAGGTGGGGGATCGGTTCCACCTGGCCGCAAGCTGCTGCACGGGTTTGGTCCTTATGACAACTCTTGGCAGCCTGCCACTGCGCAGTTGGGATTGCCAAATGGTAAATCTGCCATAGCAGGCCCGCCTGCTTTTGGTCTGGCAAGGCAGTGTTCGTTCCACTTTCGTTGAGTCCAATTAGCAAGGCACACGTCCGGGAGCCACTCCAGTTTAGCCCACCTCGCCTTCAGTTCCCCACAGATGTTCACTGATTCCAACAGCGAGTTGTAAACAATCTTCGTGGTGACCTCTTGCAGTGGCATCGATCTCCTGTGCGTCCTCTGAGGAGGCCATTCCCAATCTGCCGGGTTCCAGGCAAGGGCTCTCAACCGGGTTGCGGTGCAAAAGGGTAGGTAGTGTCCAGCCTCTTTCTTCCCTCCTTCACATACCGCAACCGTTTCCACCAGAGCTCGTGCTATTTTCCTCACAGCGTGCAGGTCCTGCAGTGGTTGCCCCAACCCCTCCCATCCCCGTCCCGGCCTGTCCTTCACTGGCCTACTACCATCTCATCTTTTTTTAGCACTTCCACCCATTGAGTCGGAATAGCCTCTCTCATGTCCTTGACCCTTTGGCCCCTCTTCATGCACCCCTGCASTGCAAGATCCATTTCCTCATCTGTACGCCAATCCTTCCGATCCTCATCCCACAAATGTCCCACCTTGAAAATGCCCTGCTCCGCCCATTTCCATCCATAGGCCYCTCGCGCCCCCTGCCATGGGTAGGGGTCCCCTGCCTCGTCACAARTAAACCGGTTATCAAAGAGCAGCTGGTTAAAAATAGCATCCGCTGTGTCGGGGAGCCGACATCTCACCTGGATCTTCTTCCACAGGGCCAGTTTCTGAGTCCACACAGTCCCCCTCCGAATATGACCCATCCCGGAGCTGCTGAGCAGGCAGAGGTCTACCAGTTCCCTAGGGACCTGGAGAGCATAAGCAAGATGAGACAGCGTCACCTCTTGCCAAGTTGCCCCCTCCGAGCGCAGCAGGGCCCAGATGAGCTGTCGCAATTGAAGTGTGATTATCTGTAAGCGCGGATCCAGCAGGCCCAGCCCTCCAAACCTTCTTGGTTGAATTAGCTTACACCGGGAAACTCTGCAGATAGAATTCTCTGACCTAGCGTTGTTTGACCACAGATGCGCTTGGACCGCCCTCCTAATATATTGGAAGGTACGCCTCCCTGGCATATGAATTGCGCCCGCGTACCACAGGGTGGCCAGCACCGAATTCTTAATCACTATAGCCTTTCCAAAAGGCCCCATGCTCCCTCTCGCACTCCATCCTTGCAGTCTTGCCACCGCCGCTGTGGCCCGTATCGCCATCTGCTCAATTCCTCCATAGCTCGGTGTTAGATTGGCCCCCAAAAATGCCATTGGCTCTCCTTCGACCACTGTGGGAATGTCCCACCCTTCTGGAGGGTCCATCCCCAGAGGCAGAATGGCCCGAGACTTCTGCCAATTCACCCGTGCGCCTGAGTACCTGCAGAAGGTTGCCAGGTCCTCTTTGAGAAWGCCCAGCTGCTGAGCCGTTGGAACGAGTACTGCACCTGTGTCGTCCGCAAAAGCTGTAGATTGCAGTTCCGCTCTTGGTCCCGCCTTCAGACTGATAAGGCGGCTGTCGGCCCGCAACATCTCGTGCAGTGACTCAATGCAGATGACATAGAGGGCAGGAGAGAGCGGGCAACCCTGCCTCACCGACCGAGTCACCCGCAACCTGTCCGATCTCACCCCATTGACTTGCATCACAGTCGAGGCTCCCTTTAGGAGGCCACGAATCCAACTGCACAGGATAGGCCCAACCCCCCTTCGCGCCATACTTCGCAGTAAAAATTCCCATCTGACCCGGTCGTAGGCCTTCTCAAGGTCTATTGACACAAAGGCCAGTGCCTGACCTGTGCATTGCTCCTCCTCCAGTATCTGCTGTGCTAATAAAATATTCGACAAGATCTGGCGACCTGCCACAAACCCGGTCTGAGTGGAGTCAATGATACTTGGTAGGGCTTCCTTCAACCGGTTTGCCAAAACTTTGGCAAGTATTTTATATAGCGCATTCAGGATGGAGATCGGGCGCCAGTTCCGCACGTCCTCCTTGGCTCCTTTTTTGAAGAGTAAAACCACATACGCATCCGCAAAGCCTTGAGGAAGGGTGCCTCCCTTCACAGCCTCGTTATAGGCTTCTGTCAGCAGAACTCGTACCACTTCCTCTTCCGTGATGTCCTCTTCCAACTTACAAGTTTCCGCAAGATTGAGGCGGCTCTGTACATGGCTCCAAATATCCAGCTCCGGTTCGCCGGCCATCTCCTCAGGAGTCCATTGCTCTTCSTCMGTGAGCAGTTGGCRATAGAAATCGGTAACGCAYTTCAAAATTCCCCGAGTAGTACGCTGTTGCTCCATCTGGCCATCAAAGGGGTGATCCATGGCGGTCATTATTGGTGCTGCCTTTTTCGTTGCCACTGTAGCAAAGAACTGTCGTGACATTCGTTCCCCCAATGTGATCCATGTCTCCTTGGTGCGCCTACCCCATTTAACCGCTTCCTCTGTCTGCCACTCCCTCCATCCTCGTGCTGCTTCCACTCTTTCTGCCCACCATTCTTCCTCCATCGGGCCCTCCTCAGGGCCGTTGGCCAATTCCTCCATCCTTCGGGCGTGCTCCTCCCCTGTCTTCTTGTGCGCCAAGTAGTTTCCCCGCAACAGCTTCTGCAAGTTGTGCCGCAAGCTCTGCACTGCTATTATAACTTGTGGCAGGAGCTGTTCCTGAGTGCAGTCTTCGGCCCAGTCCTGCCAAACTTAACAATGACAGGGCCATACTCCGGGCTTTTAGGCGACCCACCGGGAATGTCGCAATTACTGCTGAGTGGTCCGACGTGGCCATCGGTACAATGCGCACTTGCTCCACAGTTTCGTTCAGCTCCCCCGACGCCCATATCATGTCGATGCGACTCCTTCGGGTAACAGTGTTTCCCCAGAAAGTAAAGGCCCTCTCCTGCGGGTGCAATGTTTTATACAAATCTGTACATCCCAGGCTCGTCATACCGTTGACCAGGGCCATAGAATCTGCCTCCCCCTGCCGTATAGTTGCTGCGTCTCGTTCCGGATCTACTAGCGAGTTAAAATCCCCTGCTATTATGAGATTGTCAATGTCCGGAACTAAAGTTTGCAGGCGCTCCCACATCCTGCGCCTTGTGCCCAATTCTGACGGTCCGTAGATGGTAACTACCCCCCATATCGTTTCCCCCCACTTAAGCACCACCCAGGCCCACCTTCCCCTGGAGTCGTAAAACCAGTCCGTTACATCTCCTCGAAAGTGCGGGGAGATGAGAATGCAGACCCCTCCCCTAGTACCCTGCGCCGGGGCCCAAATCTGGTGGCCCTTCCACCATAACACCGGCTCTACCGTTCTAGCTTCATTCAACTTAGTCTCTTGTAGACACACTACATCGATCTGCTCATCTTTCACTTTCCTCGCCAACTCCCTTCTCTTGGGCAGCAGTGATTGGGCCCCGAGGCCTCTCACGTTCCAAGTCAGCAGTTTCAGCCTATTGCAGTTTCCCTGCACTGGCATCCCCTACCACTAACCTAACCCCTAGTACATCCCTTACTAAGTTAAGGTGGTACTTTCCTCTATGTATTGCTGGGGGGGGTGTCCTTATCCTTGCAACACCCATTCAAGATAAGTATATAGTATAGTACCTACCCTGCCCTACTCTACCCTCTCACACCCCCCGTTCCCAAATACCAGTTCCATTCTGGAACTGCACACCCCCCACGTGTTCCATCAGCGGCAGGCACACATTAACACTGTTGAGCAGAGCCAGAGATGTTGTATGAACCAGGTGGTAGTCCTGCGAGAGGGCCACAGGGCCATAGGCTTCGGCGAACCGTATCCAGTGCATGCCTGCCGATCCTAGCCTCGGAACTCCCGGTCTCTTAGGGATGGCTTCCACAAAGAAGACAAAGATGACATACTCATCCCCCCCCGTAGTCTCCCGCACAAATCGGAGTGCTGATATCTGAGGCAGCGGCACCACTTCGTATCTTGGACCCAACCATTCAGCCACCTTCTTGAGCACCTGCTGTTCCCGAGGTGGGCGGG